GTCCATTTGCTCCCTATAGAAGCTAATATTGCTGCATATTCCCATTGAGGTGACAAGAATTAGCAAAATAGTGGTTCGGGCGCTTTTCAAAAATAGTACCGGACGCTGTTCCTCTTGTGACGTCATAGCTCCGTGACCTGACCTGACCCGGTCAAGTTTCTTATACCATATGATAGCCAATACTTGCCCCAACATGCATGGGAAGTTTCATCACGATCCATCAACCGATGTCCGTACCACCGGCAGGAAACCTCGGGCGTTGGCACTCAGTTTGTGAAAATCCGGCCGGAGGCTGTTCCCTTTGTGACGTCATAACTCCGTGACCTGACATGACCCGGTCAAATTTTTTTTTATCAAAAGATGCGCAAGGTTTGCCCCATAAGGTACCCAAAATTTGGCGGCGCTGCGCGCCGCCGTTTTTGCACTATTTCCGAAAAACCTCAGGGGGGGTTGCACCAACCCCCCCCCCTACATGGGCGAGGGTTAAACAAGTGTATGAATATGTGATGTAAATAAATGTTACCGTTTCTTCATCTGTGTTTTTTGTTCCGGCTTTTTCGGCACTTCGGCAAAAGTAAATTCCCCATTAGATTTGCTCATACACGCTAAGGATAGGCTCCCACGTTGCTATTGCTTCCGGGTTCACATAAACCGGCTTAACGTAAAACTTTGTTCCTGGCCAAAATTGTCAGATGTAATGACCCCCGGCTCCAGACTGGCTTTAGGCTGGCGGAGCAAAAAAAAAAAAAAATATTTTACACTCTTTTAAAAGTATTTACAAGGTAATTATAGGCCTCAAGGTGTAAACGTACCGCTTTGCTGTCGTTTTAATACCTTCTTCGGTGTACATAAACTGATCCCATCTTTTATAGTCTAGATTTACTTTTTGTACCTCCACGGTGTTTCATAATCTAGCCACCCTCATTTCTACTTCGATAAAAAAAGAAGGAATGTGTTATGGAAGTGTACGATCATTCTTTTGAAAATACCACTGACGTTAAATAGTGCATTCGGCGTAATTGTAGGGGAGAGCGGGGAGAGTTGTATCATGTCCAAGTTGTATCAGGGCGAATTGTGCCAAACTTATCCAATGGATGGCGCTCGCGACACGACCAGCCGACGAGGTTTTCCGGGCGCCATCTTTCCCTGTTCTGTCTTGTGGCTGAGTGGACGCGTCTCGAGGTGAGAGCCGATTTTATGTTTTTTTAATGTCATTCTAAAAAAATAGGTTGCAAGAAAATGTGTGTTCTGGGCATTTAGATGTGCACGAATTTGAAAGATCTCCGTAGCGGTGGTGAGGGTAGGTTCTAAGGCTGCGTGAGTGAAAACGGATTTCTCCAGCTGTCCGCTGTTTTTTGAGCACGAGGATGTTTTTTCCAAGATGGCGGCTATGTACATGTTGTATCAGAGCCGGGTGGGGTATGTTGTAACATGTATGTATGTATAGGTATGTTGCTTTTGATCGCGAAAGCTAAGCCCTGGCTCGCGTTTGTAGGTAGCTGGTCAATACTCGTTCCATTTCGGCACAATGTGTTGGCTTCTTTGCTCTTAACGGGCCACTTTTGCGTTTAGTCTGTTGATGTTTCGTTCGTTTCGATGTTTCGTTCGGATTGCATTGACCTAAGTTTGGTCTAATAAAAGTGAAGCCTTTGAGCATATACATTGTATTAAATTAACCCCATTTAATGTTGTTATATTCAAAACCAGTAGCAAGCACACTCCCTGAAACGTGAAATGCCTAGTGATACAAATTACCCCACCATGTGATACAACTCACCCAAGCCATGGGGCAAGTTGTATCAAAAACATTGTTCTATTCGGGAGACCTTAGAAGAAAAACTGGTAGAGGTAGCGGAAAAGTTACTTTGCACAAAAAAGCAGAAGAATCAAGGAAGGGGATAGTATGGAAATAATGAGTTTATCACGGATAGTTACGAGGTTATGGGTCTCGGAGTAAAAACTGATACAACCCACCCCACTCTCCCCTAGTCTCTGTACAATATTCATGAAAAACTTTGGTGTAAAATAAACCAGCTCGGTGTTAATATTTTTCTGTGTGTAGAGACGCATCGACTGATATGCAACATGACCTTTTCCGGTCAGGTCATGACCTTGACCTGAGGTCAAATTTTCAAGTTGACCTTTCAAGGTCAAATTATAGTTCATTCGACGCGTCTCGGCGAGGGGAACACGATTCTGGCAATAGAAATGTCGTGGATTTTTGTAGTCGAAAGTTATTGTCGAAAAACGCTTTTCGTAAAAACAGCTATTTTTGGAGTTTTTGCCCTCTGGAGGCTAAACCGTTGACCTGAGGTCAATATTGATTATGTCCTTTTCAATAGAAGAGTTCAAAAACTATCGATTGCTCTTCAATGCGTTTTTCTAGCTACCATGGTTCCTGAGATAGCGGCATGTTTTCTGAAAAATATAATGACAGTTGGCAAATTTTGACCTTTGGTGACCTCTGGTGACCCCAATATTGCTTTAACCCTATTCCTGGCGGGGGGGGGGGCCTCAGGAGCCCCCCCCCTGAGGTTTTTTTGTTATTTCTCCCAAACGCGTTGAGCTAGGAAGCTCAAATTTTCTGACTTTTCCTAAAAGGCTTCTACGCAACATGTCTGAAAATTTTGAGTTGATCTGACCTCAGGTCAGGTCACCAGAGGCGGTTTGGTGACCCTACCTCAGAAAAGTTTGCAATCACGCCAGAGCTAGAGTTTTTGACCGATCGATTTCTTCTCTTCAGGCTTTAGTTAGGGTACCAGTATGTGCAATTTGTATATCTCGGAATTTTGATATCGGTGACCTAAGGTCAGGTCAGTTTCGCGACCTCCCCATAATAAGTCAATAGCCGCGTTTACATAGGGCTAGTTGCCAGATAGTGGAATTCCACTAACGAGACATTTTTTCCACTAACGAGACATTTCAGGCACCTTCAGATAATTCTGACGACCTATCCGGCCAGAAGGACCAAACCGATTGACAAAAATAAATACATCGTGGCGGATGAATACTTCAGGCCGAGACATACCCCGCGTTCGATGTCTCTCGGACGGCGAAGATTCTACGTCGTCCGGCCAATCCCGTCCAAGGTCAGCGGGGGCTCGGCTAACGTGATTGGCCGGACGGCGTAGAATCTTCGCCGTCCGAGAGACATCGAACGCGGGGATAGTATAGATGTCGCAACTCGCGGCCTTCCCGGCAGTAAGGGCGAGGTATAGATGACGCTACTGCAGCAAGTCACTCACCGTTCCATGCTTCTATCCTCAGGATACTGAAATCCTTCTCCTCCACGCCGCAACTCCCCTCCGGGCTGGACAGGCAACTATCTCATGCGGGCTGCTCCCTTGGAGCGGCACCGCTGCTCCCGAGGGAGCGCACCCCGTAGCCGGGTGCAGTGAGTGCCTTGGGGCTGGGTGGCCTGTCCTCTGGACGGGCTCAGCCCCGGCGACTCACTAGGGTGCCTGCCCAGACCAATGTCTCTCCCTATATCCTATCATCCTCCCGGCTCTGAAATGGTCTCATTGGACCGAAAGGGCCTAACCCAACAAAACAAACAAACAAGTCACTGGAACGTGCGAGTCGTGGAATGGAACGGAAGATACGGAACGGGGGCTTCTTAACGGAAGCTTATTCGTTTTATTTTCATTTAAGAATTGATTTCGTGCGCTAGGGAAAGAACATTGTCTTTTTTTTTCTTACGTCTGCGCCCCCCCCCCGTCCCTTCCATCCCTTGGATCAGCCAGTGTGCAGCAAGAGGGTTCATCGGAGAAAAACAACAAAGAGCAATCCTCCCTGAGCCTGTCAGGTCAGAAATAACCTGAGCATAGGCGGCGGAACGGGGAGGGCACCGGGGCACCGTGCCCCCTTTGATTTTGGCATTTTAACATTAGCCCTATGGGCACTGCATGGAAAGAATGGGACCAAAAGTCGGCGGTGCCCCCCCCCCCTTAATTGAAGGTGCTCCGCGGCTGCTGAACCTGAGGACCGTTCGTTATGCCCTACTGCCCACGCTTCTTAAAATTTCAGTAGTAGTCAGTTATCTCGCCAAAGTTTCCGTATAGGGGTTGGCAAACACAACTGAGCCTCGTGAGTGGGATGAGTACTGGACACAGAAGTGGACAATCTGTTGGCAAGGAGCCCGCAATGATAATATCTCGAAACTCAGGACTACGCATACAAACACTTTAAAAGCATCTAAATCTATACTATAATCGAAAGCCGCATTGTTGTGAACTTCCGGCACGTGCGTCCAATCACCATCAAGAACGGAAGTCCGACCTACAGCAAGCACGACAGTCCGATCATAGATGTATTGAAAAATAACTAGCAACTTTAAACATCGCCTTCCTCAGCCACGCTCTACACCGCATCACATAAGAAAACCGCCAATATCGATTACAAAACACACATAAAGGAATTTCGTAGGTATAGATGAGAGGAATACTTCACCTCCTTTATCTGGCGCGTCAATAGGTATAAAGTAATCTTTGGCGTCTACGCACTAGCAACATCTATAATGCAAACAGCAGTTCAGAAGCCATCCACTAAAATTGTAACAAGGCAAGGGTTGGTCAAAATAAATTATAGTCACCGTGATAAATAGCAAACGAAATACAGAACAAGCACAACAAAGCATTCCACACTTGTTTAGACTGTACCTACAATATGCCTACATAAGACATTGCAGCAGTGTACAAGGCAAACATTCTTTAAAGATGCCACCGTGAGGAGTTTTAAAAGTTTGGTGAACATAGTTACGAGTCACTGCACAAGAAATGTCGCGGTCGCCAGCCGGCCCAGCGGAGACGGCGTCAAACAAACCCGAGAGGGGGTAGTTTCATCCGCATCAGCGGAGGCGCTCTCTCTACCAAGGTCGTCAGTTACCAGCCGCAGCACCCTGCTGGCGATTTGATAGCTGCTCTTATTCTCAGCTGGCTGAGCGCCATGTGCCGGGTCATCCGGCTCCATGATTTCCCCTTTCATTAGCAGCTGCTGTTGTAGTTATTGTTGTTGCGTTCCTTTCAGCCGCTGCCGCAGCATAGCCGTACGGTTCTGGATGGTTCTCACGGCGGCAGCCAGGGTCACCAAATCCGTCTCCCCGTAGCCACACCAGACTCGGGAAAATGTACCGAGATGTACCGAGCCAATGTTGCAGCACTCGCGGCATTCATCGGTAGGACTCCGCCCAACCCAATGTCGGCACTGACAGGAGCCCGAACAGTGGTCCAAACGAAACTGATGAAAATCGACAGCTGATGAGCGGTCCTCCACTGACGCCGGACGGGTGGCGACGGCGCGGCCGGTCCTGGAGCTGGAACAGCAGAATGGACCGGCCGGGACACGCGGCTCATCAGTCCATTCGTCCTGCTACTCCCCGTAGACCCCAGCTCCTTCGCTGCAGGTTCTCGCGTCTGCCGACCCGTCCGTCCACACCCACGCGGCTCGATAGGGGAGGGGAGGGCAGATATCGTTACGTCGCTTGAAGCAGTTCAGCTGCCGAGGCTCTTTGTCGCAACGCCGCCAGCGCCGCGCATCGCAACAGCACATACCGTGGAGTGCCAGCCTCTTCGCGGCAGACGCGGCATCGGGCAGCAGGGCACTCCACGTCGTTGCATTGTGGGCATCCGGCCTCGGGAGGCGGCCGATGCAGAGCAGGTACTGGCGGATGTCGATAACGACTGCACGGTCGGCCTCCAGGACGGAGCCAGGACAGCGGTCGACCCATATCGACCGGTACCATCCGTCCGGCCAGCTCCGCTGCCAGGCGCGCGCAGCGTCGCGCGCGCGCCTGCCGTGGCGCGCCTGTCGCGCGCGCGCGCCTGCCTTGTAGATAGTGCCCACGTCGATTGGCGCTACCGTTGGGATAGACGGCGGTCGACCCATATCGACCGGTACCATCCGTCCGGCCAGCTCCTCCAACACCGCTCTTAGGGCGAATAGCTCGCCGCGCGTGCTAGAGCAGAGGGCGCCTGCCGCGACACGCACCTCTCGGATGTCGCGGTTCGGGGGGGGGGGGTGGCCCCTCCTCCTCCATCTAGCACACCATCGGTGGCGGAGCTGTCTGACCAGATCAAGCTCGCCTCAGACGGGAGCTCCGCCAGACGACTTTCCGCCGCCTTGGCTCGCCAGCCGTCGCGCCCAAACTCGCTTCAGGCCGTGAGTCTATAGCCGGCGCGGTGGCGTGGCTTCGCCATGGTAGCCTTGGGCGGGTTATCCTCAGAGAACGCATTCGCATTGGCGAGGAGGCGAGCAGCGCCACGAGTCCTGAAAAGACCAAACAATATCAGTACATAATGTAGACAATCAAAATTGTAAAAATTGGCATTAACTGCGCAACTGATGTTTGCTTGTTTGTTTATTAGGGTTTACGGGCGCTGCGGTGGTCATTTTGCACCCATGAAGCTGTTCTGGTGAACCTGCGCAACTGAGCAGTGATCATGCCATAACTTATGTTTGGCGTAGTGGCAGGGTTCCACCTAAAATTTCGGCGCACGTCAGGTGTAACGTCACATGCGACAAATTCAGCGCATGTCAGTTGGGCAAACTAAGGCTGATGGAATAATATCAAACGAGGGCACCAAAAATTGATCCTAAATGACCATACTTGGACATTAATGCAGACCCTCTCTGTATCACCAATTGTCAGAAAACAAGCAGGTGTTTCAAGGAGCGTTAGAGAGTCATGAAGCCAGGATAAAACACAGTGCTATTTTCTCAAAACAGTTTGTACATGATAGAGTTAGGTAACTCTCTCTCTCTCTCTCTCTCTCTCTCTCTCTCTCTCTCTCTCTCTCTCTCTCTCTCTCTCTCTCTCCTCTCCCTCTCCCTCTCCCTCTCCCTCTCCCTCTCCCTCTCCCTCTCCCTCTCCCTCTCCCTCTCCCTCTCCCTCTCCCTCTCCCTCTCCCTCTCCCTCTCCCTCTCCCTCTCCCTCTCCCTCTCCCTCTCCCTCTCCCTCTCCCTCTCCCTCTCCCTCTCCCTCTCCCTCTCCCTCTCCCTCTCCCTCTCCCTCTCCCTCTCCCTCTCCCTCTCCCTCTCCCTCTCCCTCTCCCTCTCCCTCTCCCTCTCCCTCTCCCTCTCCCTCTCCCTCTCCCTCTCCCTCTCCCTCTCCCTCTCCCTCTCCCTCTCCCTCTCCCTCTCTCTCTCTCTCTCTCTCTCTCTCTCTCTCTCTCTCTCTCTCTCTCTCTCTCTCTCTCTCTCTCTCTCTCCGTTTACCATTTGCAAGGCCAAAAAGGCCAATTGGTTTTGAAAGACATTGGATTACAAGCTGAGCATTTTTTACTTTATCATAAAATGTTAAACCTGCGTGTAGATGAAGTCTGAACGGTGGTTTGTAGGCTGATAGGTTGGAGGTTGAAGGTTAGTAGGGAAGGTAAGGTCAGGATAATTTCTGCTTTTTATTTTCATTGGACTTCAGTCTTCATCAACACACGCATCAAAAATATCATCTATTTGAGCATCTTCAAGCCTCAATATACAAGTTGTACCACAACAAATTAAAATTGATGTCATGCCAACATATGGTCATGATTTTTACCACCAGAATTGAATTAAATGCCTATTGATGCTTTACCTAATATTTTGAAGCCTGAAATCTGATTAACCAAACATTTTTTTCTTGTGTTGGCAGTCTAAAATTTGGCTGGCTTGAGCGCGATGCTATTGCTCTAGCAGAATCTCAACGGATGCAGGGGGTCATCGTTTCTATGTTGCGCCATAGGGAAGGCTTTTTGGGCCAATCAGAAGGTAAATGACGTCAAAGGTTGTCCACTTTCTTTGCTGTTTTCTCAACTAAAACGGGATGAAGTGGAACGTTTTTGGTCTCAAATGGTTTAATAAGACATTTTCTACATGTTGTAAAGGTTACAACACCTAAGAACTTGTAGTCTTTGAGTTCTATCGTAGCAGTGAATTAGTTGGGAATTACGATTTATGACAGTGGTTTAAGGAATTGAAGCAGAAATTTAGCTATTTTTTACATTTATTGCGCGCGTGTTACAATCTTCTGCTTGCAAATTTGTGTATTTCAATTGATATCAATTGTAAGTTGTTATTTGATACTTTTCTGTCTGGCATTTCTGAGGTTTTTTTCCTGATTATTACCAGCAAGTAGTTAATAAGAATTATCATATACATTTGTAAACGTAGAAATATTGGTATGTATTCCAATACCAAACAAAATTGCATGTTTGTTTGTTTTAAGTGTGGTCAATTGTCTAAAGCCTAGACGGACAAAGGAAGCTGCAATTGCTTCTGTAACTCATGTAAGCTGCCATAATTGATAAGTATCTGGACATCCGCGGGGGAGCCATCCGCTTCTCTTCTGTCTTTGACAACCAGTACTTTTAGAATGAGTGAGTGCTTTGCATTACAAAGATCCGGTCCAACATGCCTGCAGTCCGCACAGCCGGTAAATGTGAAGATGAAGTACAGTGAAGATAAAAATCTAACCTGACCTAACCTTACCTATTAACCAAAAACTTTCAACCTGCCAACCTACAATCTACAAACTTACAACCTACTAACTGAAAACCTACAATTTAAAGCCTACAATCTACCAACCTACAACTTAAAACCTACTGACTCACGTCTCACTGTACTTCATCTTGATCTACACATATAATATTGCACAGCCTTCACAGGCCTCAAACTTCTGTGTGCGCTATGGTGTCAGGCAATTGGTGAGTGGTTTGCGGAATATTTTTAGGTGAACAGGATTCCTTTCAAATTAAAAAATAATAATTATGAATGAGTAGGCATGTTTTGTGTTCGTTTTTTATTGGTTTTAGGGCTCGTGTTTTCTTCAATCCTTGTTAGCGCATTGGTATGATGGAGGAGTATCACTCCAACTCCCCTAGGCCCTAATTTGATTAGAAGAAATGTTAACTATGTTATGACAGATCATGACCAAAGTACCTGGAGCAGCGTTTAAAGTCACATCTTGTTTACAGTGTCCCACCGACCAGCTGTGGTGACGCCAGTCGCCAACAGCTACAGCGCTTTTCCAGGAGGCTTCAGTTATTCTGTGACTGGTGACCAAGGCACGACACATCACCCAGCAACTCACAAGTAAGTGAATGTGTGTGTGTGAGCAATGTTAATGTGCCTATCTGTGCAGTTGTGGCAGCTCCCAAAAACAATTACCTAATTCAAAGGGGAAATGACAATGGAGCATGGCTAATTTGCTATCATATTTAGTGCAGGCTAAGGTCAAAAGGTTGTGTCTACTGAGTCACATACAATAACAAACTGTTTTACACAGGTTGTTTGGTGAGTTGCTGCCATTCATCGATTTAGGCAGCTCCTTTGCCATGGCATTTAGTGACTAAAATACAATTTTCCAAGCAAGGAAGTGACATTTGTTGTTTACTGAATAGTTATTCGTTTTACTGGGTATTATGCATCCTTCAGCCATCCGTAATTTGCATTTCATGGAAGGTTTTTGTTTTCAGTTTCGCTGGCGGAGAGTGTTGCTGAGCAGCTGACCAACTGCGGCTGCTGGAGCGTTTCTCAGTCGTCGACCTCCGTAGACTGTCAAGCCTCCCTGGCCTTCTGCGACTCAAGAAGGAGGGATTTTTATCTGTGTTTACCATACAAGAGACATTTTAATCTGACGATTCGATCGGATCTGGATCATGAATCCCGAGGCGGTGTGACAGATGGTCGAGGCCGGCGCGCCACGCCAGACGCCTTCTCGCGCGGGGCGTGCTCAGGTCAGTCAGGTTGCGCTGCCGGACTCTGCTCCGAGGAGAGAAGCACATAAGCGCAGTCAGGACGCGAGTGTGGTACTGGTTGCACCGCCCCGGTCCCAGCAACCGCATGGCGGTGGGGACTCACAGCCCGGCTGATGGTTCCAGATCGTCTCAGCGCAGCTTCTTCTCCGGACCCCGGCGCGGCAGCGAGGCTGGTGGTTCGGAGCCGACTGATGGAGGACAGCAAAAGAACAGCAGGACAGGACAGCACCCTAACAGTAGCCTTCGGTCATGTGGCGAGAGCTGGGCCCCGGACCGGTCGAAAGGGTGCTCACTGCTCAGCTGAGTGGGTAATGTCCGCGTCTCGTTAGTGTCCCCGGCCAGGTCCTGAAGGGTAGATGAGGGCGGGATATTCTCCTTTATAGACGCAGAGCAATGCCAGAAGAATGGTTTTGCGATCGAGTTGCATGCGCTGTCCCTGCCTGTCGCTCCAACTGCCGCCGGCGGGGTTGGCGCTAATGGCCATTGACGGGGCTGCTGTGTTTGTAAATTAGGTTGGATGGACCCCTGCTCTCAGAGTTTTGTGTTGGTCGCTGGTAACCCATGTTTTGTGGCCAGCGTGTTACGAACCCACGTAGTGGTTTGACCCCGTGGGGTGCTGTGAGACAGCGCGGAGCGACGCGTGGATGCTGCTGAAACACGCTGATGTTTGTGTGTACCTATCGTCATTTTGAAGTGCTGCTTGAGTTTGCTCGTTTGTTCTGTCTTACTGTTTTGTGTTTTCTACCAAGCTAATGTCGATAAGATTGTTCAATAAAGTTTGAGTTGAGACTTCCGGACCGGGAAAGCCTGAGACGTCTGAACCGGGGCCGGCAAAGGCGTCTAAACCGGGACCGATTGAGGCAGCTGGACTGGGACCAACGAATGGCAGCCAGTTCTGGACCGAAAGTGGCAGGGCTGCATCCGATGCGCCACCACATACCGTATCACTGGCAGCCATATGCGTTCCTGTCGCAGGCCACCGTTCACGCTTCAGTTTCGGCGCTGGTGCCCCGGCCGGGTATATGCTCTGCTCGGTATACCTAACTGTTGTGAGCAAAACCTCGTAATCGTACGTCTAATGCTATAGTTGTTGTTCAAATCCGCGTAAATTATGACACTCTGGCAACTATGCTGACCCATAACCAAGCATAGGTCAATGTTGGCTCAGTCGGCTACGGTCGAAGTTACGGTGTTTTTCCAGCCGATAATGCATCAATATAAACTCCTTCCACACTAGTTTTTGTGGCACCACATTAGCATAAACCGGTTTGCAGGTTTGTAGAAGCTGGTATAACGTAATCTAATCGTTCAATATCGCTAAAGTCGTCTCAATTCCCAAAAACGTCCTCATGTTGTACTGCATGCGGCTGCCTGATCCGTGAGGGTGGACGACCTTTGACGTCATTTCGTCAGCTGAGCAAATGTAAACAAACCGCCTGACGATTTTACCTCCTAATATACGGCCTTGAACGGATGTCTACAAAGTGCCACTCCCAAGAAAGTTTTTCAAGATTCTAAAACCACAAACTTTGTTGATGCCTGATCGTGTGATGGTAAATCAAATGATAGCACTCCATCTGAGGCCAGTTTTACAAACAGAAAATAGCCACCTGCCGGATTATTTTGCCTAAAGGCTAATTCATATATGGAGTGTAAATGGTGAAGCCCTCCCTGCTTACATGTCTATCGCGTTTACCCTCTGTATGTTGTACCTACGTGGAATGGATATATGAGGAGAAAAATTCCAGGCAGCTATTTTTGTTGGTAAATCGGGTAAAGTAAAACTGGCCTCTGAACGAAAATTTGGACTGAGTGAGATCTGTCGGCTCTTTGGTGGTTTGGATAGGAGTTGATGATTTTAATTGAAAGATTAAAAGGAAAGGGTTTCAAGACAATCGGCATGACAAACCAACACCTTACCTGCAGTTTAAGTTTGTCGATTTCTTCATCAAAATCTAGTCTTCGTCTAGTCCACAAATCAAGATAAAATTACTGGATAGGTACAACTTCTTCTTCTTCTGCACCTCACCTGCCACCCCCTACACTTCTACCTTATTCTGATAAATATCTTTACATAATTTTCACAAGAATGCCACTCAACGGGGTAGATCTAAAAGAGTGCAGGGCTTAAGTTTTGAGCTATAGAGTTCTCAGTGATTTTGAGACACCCAATATGTCTTTGGCACGCCGTATTTGTCTCTCACCGCCTGCGAATTCGGCGATATGATTGGTCGAAGGCCGAGGCTATGGGTCCAAGAAAAGGCCAAGATTCCTGCCAAGATTCTTACAGATAGCCAAGGCCGATGACTGACGTGACTGACGGCATGTTACTGCCCTTGGCATATTGCCAATGCACTGCTCCGTCATATCGGCAGTAATGTCAACAGTCATATCGGAAGTAATATGGTAGCTATACACAAAAACCATTTGGTGTATGGCTACCATACTTTTCCGATAACGAGACATTCTAGATCAATCTCTCTACTGTTGGCGACATCTGCTGAGAAATCCCAAGACCGAACGCAAGCACATAAAAGTAATGCACTCTAAGGATGCGTTCGAAATCTGGGAAGTGACGGATTTCATTCCTCAATGCGTTTCCAGCCTTCCCCATGCTGTTCGTTCCGCCATCTATTGCCATGTTTCGCATTCGCACTTCATAAATTGACCACCCCGCCAAGTAGGTTGGTATCAAGTTGGTATAGGTGTCGCATTGCTCTGGTCGATCAGGCTGAGCCAGCTGTCTGGAGAGTGGAGCCGATCAAAAAAAAAAAAAAAAAAAACGCAGAAATTCAAAAGACCGACTCCAAAGCAATGGCAGCATGCATATCAATAGAGCGTAATTCTGTCATGATTGCGTCAGAAGCAAACATAATGGCAAGAGTTTCTTGTGTGTCGGTAGGCGCGTGTGGAGCCGCTGGACCGACCGGGGACGTACAGAAGGGGGGACGGACGGGGTGCGCCTCCCTGTAGGGGTTTTCAGGGCTCATGCTGGCAGAAGGCCCACGTTGGCCAAAATCACGTCGGAGACGAACGAAATTAATGGGAATCCCCCAAAAAATTACGTCAGGACAATCAAGGCTCTCCGACTCCGTCGCCTGCCACCCAGGGTCCTTCAATTTACTACATGGGGCCTCCTGTGAATAACCGCTAGTGTCTGTGTCTGACCACTAGGGCCCCTCTGACTCCTCGGGTAGAGGGCCCTCTGTAGGTAGGAGGCTCTCTCTACGGGATTCCTCCGCTCCCTCCCCCCCTCGGCCAAATTCTAGGTTATACGTGCCTGCGCTAAGCCGGAGTCGGAGAGAGGAGTTGACGACCGAATGACAAGGAGTACTCGTCCTGAAAGTAAACATTTGGAATACAAACAATCCAAAGCTGTTCAGTATTTATTAGTGATGTCAATTATAGAAAATATGAATACCAATTCCAAACCAAATACCAACATAAACCGTGAAGAAATACCGATACCGAACCAACTTCATAACATGAGGGAAATACCGACTTTTAACCAATTTCTCAGCCTCTTATACATAAGTGAGGGTTCATAATACCAACAAAATACCAAGTACATTAGGATTGAAATACCAAATACCAAGTTGGTATCGGTTTGGTATCGGTATACCAAAAAATTGGCATCCGATTGACATCTCTAGTATTTATATCATTCGAGAGCAGTGCCTTCAATTTGGATACACTTAGCATTCATTTCCCACACCCGTGTACACTCCACGAAGGCTTCTCCGCTGCGGACTCCCGCTTCCGCCGATGCGTCAGTTCATACCCTGATGGCTTGCTGGGGAGGGTGGCCAAGTGTCGCTGTGCCGCCAGGTGTAGTTCATCAGCCGAGGCGTCGCGCTGCAGTGTCCCGATGTCCAGCCTGAAGGTGAAGTCTGGGAAGGCGGCCACCTCCCTCGGCGGAGCACTGGCATGCAACCAGCGGGGTCGAGCGGCAGGGCGATCCCAGCCGCTCGCCAGGTTTCGTGCCCCACCCCACGCCAGCCCGTCATCGACTTCAGTCGGCTGGGCGGCCCATCTTCCGCGATAGTCCTGAGGGCTTGCCCTCGGGGAGCGCGTGCGCCTTGGCGAAGAGCTTCGCTACCAGCACGTCTCGCCGGGCGGCCAGCGGGCACCGGCATCAGTCCGGACTCCGCCGTCACTGCGTGGGCTGGGGGTAAACAAGGGGCAGCCGGTGATATACGGGTCACCGCCCGCATCTCCCTCTGGAGAAGTTCCACGTGGGATTGTGGCGTCACCAGGAGCCAGGTGGCGGCCGCGTGCACCAGCACTCCACGGACGTATCCAGACGCTACAGCGCAGAGCTGTCGTTCCTCTAGTCCCCAGCCCCGCGCTGTCAGCTTGCGAAGCTGCTGGATCCCGGGCGCACTCGGGAGCGGAGACTGCGGCAATGGGCCCCGAAGTGAAGGAGCAGGTTGAGGGGGTGGCTCCGAGTAGTTTGAGACGGTCGGCTGCTGGAGCCGACTTTTCGTCGACTTTGATGGCGCAGTCCACGGCGTCCGCGGCGCTCTAGGAGACGACGAGCAGCTGCGTATTTCACCCGCTACCAGCATCTTGGACTGTTTTGCCCAGCGCAACACAGCGTACGTCGCCTGCCGCGTCCGGCCCCAGTTCAGTATCGTCTGTTTCCATTAACACTCTGAAATGACAAAATAATTAGCCATTAAAATCAAAGTTCAGCACTGACGAAGTTTAACCAAACTTGCCATTTCAACATAACACAGTGAGCTGTCAGAATGCTGTTCTTTTGTGCTTTGACACAGTTGCAAAATAGGTACCTTCATATGTATATCATAGAAGTAATTACTGGTTATTATTATTGGAGGATTTTTTTGCAGCATTCTCGTCAAGTAAAATACATTATCTTCTTTATAAGAACCATAGTGTGAGGTGTAAATACAGTCTGTAAGGTTGTCCAGACTAATTGTGCCCCTATTTGTACGGCCTGGGCTGGAGCATGTACTGTTGGCATGTTTGCACGTCCACTTTGGATTAATCTGGCATGCTAAGCGAATGCGATGGCAGCGCCTTGCATTGCTTGCATGCGGTGGTTGGCATTGTTGGGAAGTGTTCTAACTATCTGTTTGTCCCGCTTTGCCCACAGCGTCGACTGGGTTGAATATACTTGTATTTCTGAGTGAACAGTTTCTCACATTTGGAGGCAGCCATTCAACCCAGTCTAGAACCCTTTCTTGCTTCCGAAGACGCTTGAGGTGGCAGAATTCCAGCAAGTCAATGAGTTTTTGTGATAGCGTGGAGGAAAAAGTTCAAGCACTCTCTTTAAAGTAGCGGCCAAGGAGCCACGGACACAGGACATGGCGTGTGCCCCTGTTAAGCCAGACAGATTTAATGGATCTGGTGATGTGGAAAGATTCTTGGCCCATTTTGAAGTGGTGTCAAAAGCCAATGAGTGGTCAGAACAAAAGCAGTTCCTGCAGCTCCCTGCCTGCCTGACTGGACCAGCTTTTGATTTTTATCGCCAGTTGCCTGCCATGGAGTGTACTGACATTCACACACTGAAAAAGGCGCTCAAAGCTGAGTATCATACACCAGCTCTCCCTACAGATTATGCCATCATGCTGTCCAAGCGTTCACGCATGCCTGGAGAAACTGTCATGCAGTATGGCGAGGCTTTGAAGAGCCTTAGCAGGAAAGCATATGCTGCCTTCAGTGAAGAACAGTTGGGAACTGTTTGTCGCTCCACATTTCTGAACAATGTTGATGAAGCTATGAGAGTGCAGTTGCTACTGACCCTGAAGGAAACAGAAAGTTACAGGGACCTACTGCAAAGAGCTCGACAGCTGGAGCAGGTAATGGGACCTCGTGTACGTCATATTGAGGAACAGTCTCAAGAGCACCGCCTGGAGGATGAGGTATCCAAGCTGTCCCTGGTTGTGGCGAATCTGGAGAAGAAGGTGGATGCACTCCAGGCAGGACGACAGGAAAGGACTCACAGACGTTCACCGCCGGGGCCGTGTCCGAACTGTGGCCTGGAGGGACACTGGCGTAGGGAATGTACCAAGCCCAGTAAGGATCGACAGCAGACAAGTGCTGCAGAGGTTATTTGCTTCAAATGCAATACGCCTAGACATTTTGCTAAGGGCTGCGCGGCCCATTTTCAGTAGGCGCGGCTGGCGGGGGTGGGCGGAGAGTGATTCGTACCTCTGTACGTCCGCTTTACCCCGAGTCGGCCGCGCCTTGCAGCTGGAGCGCGGATTACCTGAACGGTGATGTTGTGTCGTCCTCCGTATGGAGGCCGGCCGCGGCGGCCCGCGGCTCGTCGGTGCGTGGATCTTGGAGCCGGCCCGCTCCGGCCGGCGGCTCGTCGGCGCTGGAGTCCAGTAGCGCGCCTGCTGCGGCCGGCGGCTCGTCGGTGCGTGAATCCTGGAGCGCGCTCGCTACGGCCGTCAGCTCGTCGGCGCTGGAACCCTGGAGTCCGCCCGCTGCGGCCGGCGGCTCGTCGGCGTTGGAGTCCAGTGGCGCACCTGCTACTCTCGACTACTCGTCGGCACCGGATCCCCGTGGCGCGCCCGCTGCGGCCGGCGGCTCGTCCGCGCTGGAGTCCAGAAGCGCGCGTGCTGCGCTCGGCTGCTCGTCGGCGCCGGACCCCGGTGGCGCGCCTGCTGCGGCTGGCGGCTCATCGATGCTGGAACCCTGGAGCCCGCCCGCTGCGGCTGGCGGCTCATCGATGCTGGAACCCTGGAGTACGCCCGCTGCGGCCGGCGGCTCGTCGGCGCTTGAGTCCAGTGGCGCGCCTGCTACGCTCGACTGCTCGTCGGCGCCGGACCCCCGTAGCGCGCCTGCTGCGGCCGGCGGCTCAACGGCGCTGGAGCCTCGGGGCGCGCCTGCCGCGGCCGGCGGCTCGGCGCTGGAACCTCGGGGCCCGCCTGCTGCGCTCGGCTGCTCGTCGGCACCGACCCCCGTGGCGCGCCTGCTGCGGCCGGCGGCTCATCGGCGCTGGAGTCCAGTAGCGCGCCTGCTGCGCTCGGCCGCTCGTCGGCGCCGGACCCCGGTGGCGCGCCTGCTGCGGCTGGCGGCTCATCGATGCTGGAACCCTGGAGTCCGCCCGCTGCGGCCGGCGGCTCGTCGGCGCTGGAGTCCAGAAGCGCGCCTGCTGCGCTCGGCTGCTCGTCGGCGCCGTACCCCCGTGGCGCGCCTGCTGCGGCCGGCGGCTCATCGATGCTGGAACCCTGGAGTCCGCCCGCTGCGGCCGGCGGCTCGTCGGCGTTGGAGTCCAGTGGCGCACCTGCTACGCTCGACTACTCGTCGGCACCGGATCCCCGTGGCGCGCCCGCTGCGGCCGGCGGCTCGTCGGCGCTTGAGTCCAGTGGCGCGCCTGCTACGCTCGACTGCTCGTCGGCGCCGGACCCCCGTAGCGCGCCTGCTGCGGCCGGCGGCTCATCGGCGCTGGAGCCTCGGGGCGCGCCTGCCGCGGCCGGCGGCTCGGCGCTGGAACCTCGGGGCCCGCCTGCTGCGCTCGGCCGCTCGTCGGCACCGGCCCCCCGTGGCGCGCCCGCTGCGGCCGGCGGCTCGTCGGCGCTGGAGTCCGGTGGCGCGCCTGCTGCGCTCGGCCGCTCGTCGGCGCCGGACCCCGGTGGCGCGCCTGCTGCGGCTGGCGGCTCATCGATGCTGGAACCCTGGAGTCCGCCCGCTGCGGCCGGCGGCTCGTCGGCGCTGGAGTCCAGAAGCGCGCCTGCTGCGCTCGGCTGCTCGTCGGCGCCGTACCCCCGTGGCGCGCCTGCTGCGGCCGGCGGCTCATCGATGCTGGAACCCTGGAGTCCGCCCGCTGCGGCCGGCGGCTCGTCGGCGTTGGAGTCCAGTGGCGCACCTGCTACGCTCGACTACTCGTCGGCACCGGATCCCCGTGGCGCGCCCGCTGCGGCCGGCGGCTCGTCGGCGCTTGAGTCCAGTGGCGCGCCTGCTACGCTCGACTGCTCGTCGGCGCCGGACCCCCGTAGCGCGCCTGCTGCGGCCGGCGGCTCATCGGCGCTGGAGCCTCGGGGCGCGCCTGCCGCGGCCGGCGGCTCGGCGCTGGAACCTCGGGGCCCGCCTGCTGCGCTCGGCCGCTCGTCGGCACCGGCCCCCCGTGGCGCGCCCGCTGCGGCCGGCGGCTCGTCGGCGCTGGAGTCCGGTGGCGCACCTGCTACGCTCGACTACTCGTCGGCGCCGGACCCCGGTGGCGCGCCTGCTGCGGCCGGCGGCTCATCGATGCTGGAACCCTGGAGCCCGCCCGCTGCGGCCGGTGGCTCGTCGGCGCTGGAGTCCGGTGGCGGGCCTGCTGCGCTCGGCTGCTCGTCGGCGCCGGAACCCCGTAGCGCGCCTGCTGCGGCTCCAGCCGAGGCTGTACAAATAGGGGCACAATTAGTCTGGACAACCTTACAGACTGTATTTACACCTCACACTATGGTCCTTTTAAAGAAGATAATGTATTTTACTTGACGAGAATGCTGCAAAAAAAAATTCTCCAATAATAATAACCAGTAATTACTTCTATGATATACGTATGAAGGTACCTATTTTGCAACTGTGTCAAAGCACATGTAAAACAACCATTCCCGCAATTGCTCCTTCTCAGTGGAATTGGGAGTGGAAAATTGGGCTTGAAAACTGGAGGTGAGAGTGGAAAATGATTTGCATTTGGATGTCGTTTCCCACCCACATCTACAAATTTTGGGACACTGCGCAGCAGTCAATGCACATTATGGTTCAGTCGCAAGCCTTGCTTTAATCAACGAAAGAAAATTATTTGCTCTATCATGCATCATGAATTAACGAAATTTTTGTTCATATTTTTTTTTTTTTTACCTTTTCTCATAATTTCATGGACACCTTAAAATCATGAAACTGTAGCGAGCAACTGATTTGAAGATAGAAAAGTCCTTGCTACATTTCTCGACATTATCAAAACATCTTTTTCCAAACATACCTATCAACATCCTGGAAATATGAGACTTAGCAATATATTGAGGTTCCATACCCTTGACAAGGCAAATGCACCAGCTTTTAAACCAAAACAACTTTACCAACTTTTAAATAAATTTGTGACTTCCATTGATACTCCCTTACAAAAAATCATTGTTGTTGCCTGCTGGATCGAAAAGCGAAAGAGCGCCCTCGCCCCTTCCGTGAGACCTGCACAAACTTACCCCAGGAGTCTGCAGTCAGAACACGACACCGTAATCATATTGAAAAGGGGCATAGCGTATAGAAGAGTAGCAACTAGCGTCTCACTGACCTTAGACCAAAATATTTCTCTTCATGACATCCACGCCAAGGCCGTATAAGTTATCCACGGAAGGCCAATGCAATGTATGTAGATAGGCATATCAATACAGAAATGATATGTCCAAATATGTCTTTGCCGCGTCATAGTTGTAACGCACTACGGGGATCTCCAGAGATCTGATTGGCTAATATTAGCCAATCAGTAGCATATGTTACTGGAAACTGTCATAGTGGAAGTAAATTGGTAGCTGTTTCAGCTACCAAATTGATGAAGGAAATAGGGAAAATTGCTTATTTTACACGAACACCAGTCATACGCTAATCAAAGTAGAGCTAATGAAAATGGCATTATCCCACGAAGGAAAGCCAATTTGCCACGTAAGCCACCATGAATAGATTTGCTGAGCTTGTTATCACGTGTTTTTAACAAAAAAAGTCAATGAAATCATGTAATTTACGAATTTCTAGCACTCACATGCATATTTTCGTCTGCACACCGAATTGCGTCCAGGATATTGGCCATGGCGTATTTCTCGGGAACCCTCTGTTAGTGGAAATTCCACTATCTGGCAACTAGCCCTATGTAAACGCGGCTAATGGGGGAAAAATCAACTCCCTGTCTGTTTTTTACCACTAAAACGGGTCGGAATGGCCCCATATACCATACATGACTTCATATACGATCAACCTTCACTACCTTGAGGTCTGTTTTGCTGTTGGGCAGCCGTAAGGTCATGTGACGTCATCAAAGGTCACCAAAGGTTTTTGGCCAATAACTCCGTACAGGAACAAGATACAGACGCGTGGATGGTCTCATTGTGTTCAGCTCGTCAAGACGCATCGAATGATATACATGATGACCTCGAGGTCACGTGACCTGAGGTCAACCTTTGACCTTGACCTTTCGAGGTCATCATATATCATTCGATGCGGATTGACGAGAGGATCACGATGATGCCCTTAGTGTGTTCCTATCTTGACTAATTCGAAAGTTATTCGAGAAAAACTCTCTCCATATCTAGCGCCGCCATTTTGACTTTTTCGACCCCTGTGACGTCATCTTTGACCTGACCTGAAAATGACCTTAGTAAAAATTGTAGATCTTGACCGTGCGTATCCGATGCCGTTTACCGTTTGTCGCTGCGATGTGTAGTTTTTGAGATCTGAAGGGGGGCCGAATCGGCCCCCCCCCGCCAGTTTCTTGTCCCGGCGGAGCCCGCCAGGAATAGGGTTAAGGTGAAAAATGACAAAATACTTTCAAACGTACGCATTGCGAGCTATCGAATGCTTTTATTGCGTCTTTCTAGCCCTCTTAGTTTTTGAGTTAGAGGTGGGTGGTAACATATGCCCCCCCCCCCCCCACTAGGGCGAAGTTGGCTGAGACCGCCACTGGGGCGCGGGGGGGGGCACTGACGACTTTTGGTCCCATTCTTTCCATGCAACGCCCATAGGGCTAATGTTAAAGTGCCAAAATCAAACGGGGGCACGGTTCCCCGGTGGCCGGTGCCCTCCCCGTTCCGCCGCCTATGTATGAGACCGAATAAAAAGGACCAATTATATATTGATCAGGAACCAGTTGAAAGTGTACTTAGATGTTTTAGGATGACAGCAGATGCTGTTTAGTAGGGTGTGTCACTAGAAACAGATCAAGCGCTTCCGCTGATTTTCCTTGTCCTGTGTCTATGGAAGCCCATTGGTGCAGTTCTTTTCCCCATGCATCGAAAATTCGATCGGCGCCGGCTGAAAGAAGTTCGGGATTTATCGTAGCGTCCGGCGTTGCAGTCTCCATGTTTGGCGTAATGCATTTGATGACACTAACACCAGCCGCGCGCGTCTTCGCCTGTTAGCGTCGACAGACGCTGTCAATACGGATGTAAGCAATGCAAACGAGGCAGTATCCTCTATTTAGACAACGGTTACACAGAAAAGATGCAGCTTTGCCATTCAATAGCAAACTGAATTCAGCTCAATTAGCATTTACCTACCTTGCATGGTTCAGGGGACCGATTTTCTTGCAGGCCTTCTTAACGGAGATGTTGCCCGTCCGCACGGCTCTGGTGAGCTGATACAGCAGGAGTTTGTCGCTGCTGAGGTCGGCGATGATGTTGTCCGGCAGATCCAGCTCTGGGCCGCTCACCGGTCGGAACTTCACGAGAGAAAGACGGTGCACGGAGGCGCCGGCTGCCTTGCCCAACGGCCCCGTGAATGATCCGGGTCCACTAGTTTTGCCGTCCAAGTTCTGGAAAACTTCCCTGAGTACAAGCTCATTCGAGTGCAGCTGGCAGCTTGTCTCATCCGGCATCTTTCTCTCCATACTTTTTTCGGGTCGACCAGCAATTCTGTTTTGCCGCTCGCTACGCGACCGACATCCATCTAAAAACCATTGATGACGGCCGCTACAGCACGGTTGGATAAACCATACCTGTCAGTCAGCAGCCAGTGCAGTGTTTGTCATATCATTATCGTTTGAGTCTTTGATGCATTCCTTCATCTCAAATTCACTTGTAACGTCTTCAATACTGTCATCATGGTGTCGGTCGTTGCCGACGAGTCTACCTGGCCTGTCTCGTCGATATTGACGCCGTTGGAATAGGTACGGAGGTGGGAAGGACCAACTTGACCCATGTCGCCCCTCCCCTCGTTCCGCTCCTGTCTCATTCTAAGGCTCGCAGTCTTACGTCGTTTCCTCGTCTCCTCGTAGTCCACACCAACCAGTCTCATCTTCCAAACTCCTCTCTGGTCTCGAAGGAATGCTATTTCCGCTGGCGGTACCCGGTTTGAAAGCGGACAGGTGCAGCTTCGCCGATCTTAACAGCGGCAGCGGGCGATGTCAAAAAGCTTACGAAACAGACTCGCTTCAGAAACACTTTGTTTCGTTTGTCCCTCCCACATTCTTTCGGACACCTTGTTCGATCGGCGAAATCTTTCGTAGACTTGCTTTACCTTCCGAACCACATTGTGCATTTGTATCGTTGGTATGCCCTCACTCGACCACATTGCAACCACCGCTTCCGCTGCTTCACGTTAACATGCAGTGACTGTCCGCTCACTTTTTCTATCCTCTGCCAAGAGTCTCACATAGTTCACTACATAGTCTCTGTTGGTAGGCAGCTGATTTACCGGCAGCACACTGGGAGACCCGATAACAAAATGTTTCGCCTTGCTTCACCACGGCATCACTGCGGCACGGATAGTCCGATTCGATTGCACCACACGCACTTCTGCTCACGCCGCAGCTGAAACCAGACTGACTCACGTTCTTTGCAAGCTTGTGTGTCTCGGGGAGACAGCACATGACTCGAAAGCCGACACATTGTGTTGCCGACGGAGGGGTGATACCCGAGACCCCGCTCACGTTGCCCTCTGTCCATCCGTGCTCTTATTCTCCCTGTCCCACTCGTGATAGTCTTGCCAAGGCTGCAGCGTGATCCTATTACATACAGTAGCGGCGGAACACCTTCAATTAAGGGGGTGGGGGGCACTGCCGACTTTTGGTCCCATTCTTCCCATGCAACGCCCATAGGGCTAATGTTAAAATACCAAAATCAAAGAGGGCACGGTGCCCCGGTGCCCTCCCCGTTCCGCCGCCTATGTCCTATTATATGGATCATCTGTGGGTCCCTGAATGGCCTCAACACATTAAGATAACAGTATGTTTCGTCCGACGTCCATTTAAGCCAGAAATAGCAATCGAATTTTAACCCGCGCCCCGTTGGGCTCTGCCGAGCAACGCGCCCGGTTGGGGGGGGGGGCCATTTTGGCCCCCCCCCCTAAGATCTCGAGAACCACGCAACATAGCGACAAGCGGTAAACGGCGTTGGATAGCCCCAACGGGGAACTACCTTGTGACCCAATTTTATTGACCTAGGTCAAACCGATGACGTCACAGGTCAGGTCAAAGGTCCAATTTTCACCGTTTACAGGCACTTCAAGAAATGCGTTGTAAAATCGAGTAAAATGCATTTCATTGAAAATCATCGATGGGGAAATGTTCTTCAAACACATATGTTGCTATTTGAGGTCACTGATACCAGGTCAGGTCACAGAGGTCAGGTCACGGGGGGGTCACAATATGAAAGTGTCGTGTAATACATGTTTTATGGTCCATTTTACATGACAAATGCGATTATATGGGTCAGGCAGCCTTTGGGGCCAGCTTAGATCACGTTTTGGTCAAGGTCAGGTCAAGGTCAGGTCAAGGTCAGGTCAAATTAGGTCAAATTTCAAAGTTAATATTTTTGCATAAAATGGGTATCGAATCGATGCAGCTCGTCACGGGGAGTTCAATGGTGGTCTTTGTTTTGCCGTACGTGGTCTAGAATCGCTAAAAATTGAGTTCAAAAATTTGACGTCATCATATTTGAACAGTTTTTTCGCTATAACTTGGCCAAAAAACGAGATATCGATCTGAAATTTGGTATGTATATAGAAGAGCACTGGGACTATCACATATATTCCGGTTTTTTCGAAATTCGGAAAAATTTTGGATTTTTTCAAAGTTTTTCTAAAAAAATCAATTTTTTGAATTTTTTTTGGTCAAAAACCAAAAATTTTGAAAATCCGAGATAGCAGTTTTGTAGCACCGCTTTTTGTCTACTAGACCATATAAAGAACTTTGAAATTGCTTGATAACTGTAGATTTAGTGAGCGTTTCAAGGTTGCATGTTTTTTTGCTCATTTTTGCTCGAACATGACCTCAGTTTGACCTCAATAACTCCTGACCTAAGGTGACCTAAGACTTGAAATTTGGTGTGAAGGTGTCAAATTGATGCCCGGGAAGGTACTGAAAATTTGGCGGCGCTGCGCGCCGCCGTTTTCTTGCTATTCAGGAAAAACCACATTTTGGCCCCCCCCAACGGGGCGAGGGTTAACCGTCAAACGGTGTTGGCCGCTACAGGCCGACGGCAAGTCATATGGCTGGTGTTAGCGCTACGGTACGCATTGTGTTCAGTATGGAGACTTCAACGCCGGGCGCCACGGGAAATGTCGAAATTGATTGGGCCCGCGCCGCCTGAATTTTCGGTGCAGCGAAAAAAGAACGGTGCCAATGGGCTTCAACGAACCCAGCGACAAGGAATATCCGCGGAAGCGCTTGATCTGAGACAAAAATATTTGATATGACACACCCCACTGTTTAGTTCATTTACAGTTGAGTTTCATGCTCAGCGACATCAGAAGCGCCCCATGTCGGAAAATGACAAAAACTTATGACGTCACTGTGACGTCATCTTTAATGATACAACCACCAAACTTACCGCAATGATTGCCAAGGTATTCATTTAAAGTTATGCCAAGTTTCACGTTCGTAGCTAATCAGGTTTCGGAGATTTTCCACAAAACGCAGGAGGGGGTAACTTAATGTCCCCCTCCCCCGCGGCGCCTGTGTTAACCCGCGCCCCGCTGGGGGGGGGGGGGGAATCTGCCCCCTCCCGTTATTCGCCAATAACTTCTAAACGCGTTACGCCAGCGACGTCAAACTTTAGGTACCTTATTATACATTAATTTGACACGTTCCCTGAAAATTTGAGCGAAACCCGTCCGGAACTTTTTGAGAAATTGACGTTTTAGTGACGTCATGTTTGCCATTTTCGCCTAACAAACGGCAAAATTTCCAACCCCGCTAACATCTTCATTTTTAAAGGAATCAAGACGTAACAAAAAAGGTTATACATGATTCTACTTTGTCTATTAAATGGCTATCTCGGTGTTTTGAAAATGTTGGATTTTGGCCATTTTTTCTAAAAAAAAAAGACTTTTTGGAAAATAATTATAAAATCCAAAATTTTGAGTGTATCGAAAAACCGGAATATATGTCAGAGAAGTGGTCTATGTGCACTTACATACCAATTTGTAGAAGAATCGGTTCAAAAATGTTGGAGTTATTCAAAATTTTATGACGTCACGACATACAAAAATTTTAAAAAATGATTTTTTGAAGTTCTAGACCTCGTACAGAAACAAAAATAGCACCATTCGATTTGCCGTGAAAAACTGCATCAGATAGACACCTTTTTAGGCCTTAACAACCAACTTCAAAATTTGACCTCACTTGACCTGACCTTGACCTGACCTCGACCTGAAACTCATCCAGAGGTGGTCCATATCACTTATTGAGTGTGCCTATTGAATTCTATGAGTAAAATGACCCATAAAACATGCGTCGCACATGCCCTTTTCTATATTTTGTTTTTGGTGACCTGACCTGACCTGACCTGACCTTGACCTTGACCTTTGAATGACATTGTATGCAACGAATATTGTCTTGGTAGTCTAAGAACACGTTTTGGGCAATCAGTCTCAGTCCATTCTTCGGCAGCTACGGTGCAAGGCCGATACTGTAGAAACTTGCATTTTGTACCCTTGGCCTGACCCTGACCTGACCTCTGACCTACTAAAGCAAAAAAAAAAAAAATTGGGCTCTTAGGATCCGCCTTGTTGAGAGCTTTCGATTGCCGTTTTCCCTGTCTTTCTACGACCATCGGTTCGGAAGTTAGACAGGGGGCAGAATCTGCACCCCCCCCCCCCCCCCCCAGCAGGGCGCGTATGGCTGAATAGCCCAGCGGGGCGCGGGTTAACCCTCGCGGGCCCGGGGGGCGTTTTCCGCCCCCCGGCAAATAATTGCGATTGCTCCCGAACGCTTAGGGATAGGAAAGCGAAACTTTCCGTACATTTTTCCCATCAATTTGACATCTTCTGATGTAAAATGTTTGGACCTAGCCCATTGATGACGTCACAGGCTCGATTTTCCTAGACCCCTGCACGGCAAACTTCGGCGTCACAGACGCCGACTTCAAATAGCTGCTAAGAATAGAGTTTTAGAGATAAGGACAAATGACGAGCACGGTTGTGTAGCTTTTGACCTAAAGAAAAAAAAATGGTGATCTGAGGTCAAAGGTCAGGTCAACGACCCCGAGCTGTGGTTTTAGTTTTTCGCAAATAACTTCAACAAAAATGGTGCCAGAGCTACGGCAGTGGTACCATCGCATTTCCCTTGTCAAGTCGCTTCGAATGATATATATATATATATATATATATATATATATATATATATATATATATATATATATATATATATATATATATATCAGTGTATTTTGGCAGAACATTTTCTTTTAGACAAGTTTTGTTGAAGGCCAGGGAATATCTTGTTTTTGTTAGCTTCTTGCGTGTTTGTTCGATATGTCGAAGTAGAAGTTTTTGATCCTGAGGTAAGTCAAAAATGAGATCCCCAAAGTTCATGTATTCATTAATAGCTAGCGACGTTTCGGCTTTTCCAAAACCATTTTCAAGCTTAATTATGTT